AACAGAACATGATAACATTCAGTTAAATTGTATATAACAAAACAGTAAATTTGCATATATTATAGTCGTTCATCTATAGTATAGAATAATTGTGTAACACATATATACATATACAGACATATATACATATATTCACCCAAATAAACAAATAACAGACAAATCATAAAGGATTTACAAATACTTATCATAGTGCCTGATCGACTTTATAATAACACCTTTCAATTGAAAAATGTTCAAGACATTTTTTGAAACATGTTAAGGTTCGACTCTCTCTTACATAGTCTGGTAATTTATTAAATAATGAAGGACCTAGTGAGTTTGGAGATTTTTCAGATAATTGGACAATAGAAAAGCGTATATTCAGCTGATTTTTTATTCTTGTGTCATGTTTATGAATGCTAGATCTGGTTGAAAAACTGTTATAGTTACTAAATATATACACAGAAACTTCAAAGATAAAGAGTGATGGTAGCGTCATGATTTTAAATGTTTGAATACATCAACACAGCTTTGTCGAGAGGATAGACTAAACATTACTCGGAGTATTCTCTTTTGTGCAACAAATACATCATTAGCTTTCGAAGACCTTCCTCAGAGGAAGATGGCATATCGAAGTCTGGAGTCCACTTGGGCATAGTAGAGCATCAGCAACTGATCATTAGACAGAACTGATCTCAAATTACGTAATTGATAGGAAACAGAATTCAATTCATTGATTAGGATTTCACAGTGTTCTCCTCAGGAAATATGTTTGTCTATATATGATCCAAGAAATCGGACAGTCTTATCAACTGACTGTAAGTCTCCGAAATCAACTACACTAGCTTCTTTTCGTCTATTGTGAAAGCATATACATTTTGTTCTATTTTTATTTAGATGAAGTGAGTTGGCTCTAAACCACTGAGCCATATCAAAGGATTTTTTTTACATTTCTGACGTATACAATATTCATCCCTATCTGATACAATAACTGATGTATCATCAGCTCAAACAATGATTGAGTTATCACATATCTTCACAATATCGTTGATATAAAGTATGAATAAGGTGGGTCCTAGGACCCAACCCTGAGGAACACCTACTTCAGAATAAACATTGCACGATGACATAAGGTTATTACGTTCACTCAAAAAACTTTTTATCCATTCATGAGTGACACCTCGGATACCGTATCGAGATAATGTATTCAACAAGATTGTATGACTGATGCAATCGAACGCCCTGTTTAGGTCGCAAAATACCCCAATAGGGCACTCAACCGCATCAATGCATTTAATGACGAGAATGATAATTCAAATATTTTGGAGAAGATAGAGGGTACCGTAATTGGTCGATAAGTTACTTATTAGGGAGGAATCACCTTTTTTATATACAAGTGTAATTTTACCAGTTTTCAAAGCTCGCGGGAATGTTCCATTTGCAAATGATAAATCCATATTTTCCATGGTGAAAAGAGACTCCCAATTTTCATTACAGATATCAAATTCAAATGAAGTTATTGTATTCTCGAAAAAATTTTGCTTAAATGTGCTGATTGATCTTGGCTTGTAAACCGGAAATCCGGGGTCAAATAGGATGGAACGATGGTCAGAAAAATGATTATCGAAAACAGGGCATACCCATTATCATAAATGTTGCTGAATATATGATCAATTGATGAGGCTCTACCTCCAGATGATATTCTGGTTGGCCACTTAACAAGTGACTTCATGTTGAAGCAGTTCATCTACTGGAAAGTTTATCAAAGTATCCTAATTCACTGATGCATCCATATTGAAATCTCGTGCCACAACAAAGTTTACATTTGATTTATACAAAAATTCAAGAACATCATATAATTTTTTCAGAAAAACATCTGGATCCCCCTTAGGGGTAGGGGTTCTGTAAATACACAATAATATTGTATGTCGCTGGTTCAGCATACAAGATATGCTGCTCCAGACAATATTCAGATAGATCTAATTCAACAGTATTCAAAACATTTCTTGATAATATTGCAACACCACCACCCTTCATCTGTGCTCTATTAGAGTAACTGGTCAAATGGAAACCATAAAAGTAGTATGATTTTAGCGAACAGGCAGAAGACCACGTCTCTGTCAAACACAATATATTAATATTGAAATGTTGTATATCTAATGAAATACTGTCTATTTTAGTCTTATTAATGCACTAAACATTAGCCAAAAACCAGGATGGGTGAAATATAAATAATAGTAAGAAATAAACATGGAAAAATGATGGGAGATGCTAGATTTGCTTGGTTGAGGAGGACGGTAGAACGGATCCAGGATGAGAATCCATGGGACCACGTTTATCATCTCCTCAACGATGATAAAGCTAAGGAAGTGCCTTCTAATGTCGCGAAAGGGGACGGATCCTACACCTTAGGAAAGTGAAAAACTAGCAGGTTCCTGCAGAATAATTACTTCTCTTAAAACAGTCATTCACAGTCGTGTATCAGTAATTCGTGAGGTAACTGAATGGAAGGAAGATTGCATGTTGTAAATATTCAACGCCTGAATGGGGAGAAGGTACTTCCCTGAAGTATGGAAGAAAGCAGAGGTTGTATGAATACCTAAAAAGAGCGGAAATCTCAGGCCCAACAACTTGCTGACTGACATGGGACAGGCTTCTAACTGGTAGGGTGCAAATCAGGTGCGAAAGAGAATTGAAATTGCCCCAAATCGCTATGGATTTGGAGCTGGAATGGACACTAGTATAGCCGTAGAGGAAATGGTAAACATAGTGAAAGATAACAGGAAAGGAAGGAGACATAGTCTTTTTATGGCGTTGGACCTGTCAAAAGCCTTCAATACCGCGCGAGCACCAGTGATTGAGAGATGTGTGAGGCGTATGGGGATGCCGGTAAATGTGGGGATGACAAGCATGAGTTCCATAGGTAAGAGAACAGTTACCTGTGAGACGGTCTCTGGAACGGTGATCAGAGGCTACCCACAGGGGTCTAGTTGGGATCTAAACTGATTGATTCGGATCAAATATGCTTTATTGTCCAAAGTATGAACTCGTTGACAGAGCTAATCATGTATAAATGAGTTTCACCATAATAACTATACATTATACACATAGATTGGTTTAATGTATGTGTCATACTGAAATATGGTTACGATTTTTAGTGCACAGCTAAAACAATCATAGATAAATAAATGAATATGCATATATAAACGCACATAAATACCACACAGATACATATTTGAATATATCTCAAATGAACGAATAGTCAGACATATTATGTACTAGGCACACAGTTTCGAGTATGAATAAAGAAGAAAGTGTTAGTAATTTTTGCTCCTTGAACAAGGGTTTACAAGACTCTCTAGGCCCAACTTTGCACAGATATCGGATAATACGTTTTTGGAGAATTTAGACTGTATTGAAGTGTTGTTGGTTGCAGGTGCCCCAGAATGATATGCCATATCTTAGATGCGATTCAACCACAGCGTGGTACACGATTTTTGCAGTTACAATATCCAATTCATTCGACACCGTTCGTAAAGCATAACATCCCGAAGCTATTATTTTTCTCAGCAAATTAATATGGTTATTGAAATTGAGGTTGCTGTCCAGATTGATTCCAAGAAATTTATTTAGTTTTTGTTTGATATAATATCATTACCCATCAGAATGCCTGACAAGTTGCAATTAAATGATATAACATTTGGTTTTTTCTATATTGAAGGATAGCAGATTGGAGTTGCACCACTCTCTCACTTTAAGAATATCTTGCGCTATTTTGTTTTGAAGGGAAACAGAATGTATGTACATACCAGCCAGGAGGGATGAAAAACCTCCGGTTATAAACATGAATGGGAGAGTGAATGAGCTGACGATGAATGTGAAATACTTGAGAATTGTGGTGGACTATCACAAGGAGGCGAGGAAAAACTGAATGGGCTAGATGAAAAGCTGAGAAGATGGAACGGGAGAGATGTTGGACTTAGGAGAGAATGTGTGATGATAATCTACAAGAAGGTGGCTAAACCTGCGATTATGTACGGACTAACTTAGATCTGCCGAAATCAAAAACTTAGATTAAATATGGACTTCATATTACAAGCAACGTATCAAAAAACAAAAATCCCTGATTTGATACAGCTTTCACGCTCTTCTGATGTTTAATTTGACTGACTTATTAGATATGTTCATAAACGTGTATTAAACATCCTCCGATTTCATTTCCAAGTGAGTTTTCCCCACAATCATTCTCCTTCAACAAATGATATACCCCCACATCCGTCCCAGCAGTAATACATTGTACCAATTTGTCAATTCCATATCTAGTGTTTTTCCTTGGGAGAATTATTCTGAAAATATTGTCTTCCGACCTTGCGTGGGAATGCCATTAAGACACACGTTCCAGGAAATGAAGAAGTACAAAAATGAAAGTGATTCATCACTTCTATCAGACGTAGTTATCTCCGGAGTTCGAGAAGAGTCGTAAAATTGTATGAAGCGGATTCGAGATCGACAAGAAATCAAACTTTTCCACAAACCAACACTTCATTCCTTTCTTATGTTCGAAATGATATCGGCAAGGAGATACTAAAAATTGGTTGAACGTTATTCCGCTATTGTTCAATTGTTGTTGGAAACATTTTGCCGGAGAAACGAGATCAGTCTAATTGGATAGCGTCTTTTTACTTTCATTCGATAACAATTTTCACATTTGATACATTGTGACTATTTCCGAACGGCAAGTATAGGTATCTAACTGAATAATATTCAGAATGAAACAATATTGATCAGAATATTATTCTAACTAAATATGATATCAGAAAAAGAATATCAAAATGAAGAGAGGTTTTGATGAAGAAGACTGACGAATTCAAGAAACATTCATCTGAAGTTCGTATGTTTTTCATTTTTAGAAATAAATGAGTGAAATATTCAAAATAGTCATTTTTTTTCAAAAACATACAAATTTGCGTCTGTATATCAAAAACGCAATGATATTTCTGGGCCTGTTTAGTTTATTTTTTTTTAAGTTTTTGGATTTACGGGGGGTAAGAATCCATAAATGTGGATAATGATATGAATGTCTCTCTGAATAAAATTGAGACAGGCATTAGAGAGTATATATTTTTTTTTCCATACTCACTGTAAACACAAATTCATCCACTATGATTGCGACTCCATTTGGCATGGTCAACTTTGACAGTAAGATGTAAGAATTTCCCTTCTGGTCAATTTCCAGCTTGCCTTTCATAGTTGGATAAATTATAATGTCTAGTTCTATCAGGCCTTCCCAGCTGAAAGGATCTTCGTTATCTCTTTCCTCTACTCCAGAAAAGTCGGATGTTTTATAAATATTTTCCAGCTTTATCCCCATTTCTTTCAGTGGTTTTGCTTTCGGATGTCCCAATAGTTTGGCTCCAAGCTGGAAAAGAATTAAAAACTGTCAAAATTATTTTTAAATATATAATATGATATGATATGATAAATGCTATGATATGATATATGATATGATATGATATATGACGTACGATATTATGGAAAGGTATATTATGTTTCACTAACGATAAAAATAAAATAAATACAACAATAAAAATGTGTAAACCTTTCAAAATTTACGTTTTCGAAAGTTTCTCAATTCATCCAACCAGTCGAAGAAAGTGAAAGAAATACATTTTTGAGCAAGTCTAATTTGTATTCCGTTTTATTCCAGTTCAAAATTTCTATTGTCGATTACATAAAATTATTTTCATCAACATAAAATACATAAATGTAATTTCAATTCATGTGTGAAATTGAAGTTATTTTTCCAATAGATCATTACTGAGAAAGTTATCCTATTCAGAATTGTCCTCATAATGATGGATGAAAATATCCAGTACTGTGTAGAAAAAAGTTCAATCGATTTGAAGGCGAGAGGAAGAAGGTCTGAAAGAAATTTTTGCCGATCACTGGCATGCTATATTGACATTGCATTTTCCTTTTACATCACCCATAAATGCCCTTCCTTTCGATGCCTCAGTGAACTCAAATAAAGATTGAATTATTCAACCTCATTACTCAATATTTCAATAAGGCGGTAACAAATGCTCACAGGAGAAAATAATATGGGAGAGTACAGTTGTTGTCGACCGGAAAAGATGAAAGAATGCTGACTGTAATGTGATTTTTGTCACGTAAGAGCTCCATAAACTGTATTTATATTGAAGTAATTTTCATTTCTTTCTTCATCTATTTCAAACACTTTGCAGTATAGATTTGGCGTTGTATTCACAGGTTTTCGATCCTAAAATATGTTGCTTTTTTTCACAGTCACTCCAGATTTTATTGAACAACTTGCCACAGAAATCATGGAAAAATATAGATGGATGGAAGATAGATAACTTTTTATTCATATTGACTCTATTATGTACACTGAGATAAATTTGTAGCTCGTTTCTCACCTAAAAAATAGACAAAAAACATACAATAAGACGTCAACATATCTAAAGATGCTCACTGGTTATTGGGAAGAGGTCATACTTTTAGTTCCTTCAATGATTCCCAGTATGAAGTTTCCCACCACTATTTCGTTTTTTTTCTCTGTCTGTGGGAAGTTTCGTTTTCTCCACGAAGCATTATTTTCATTCAGCAGATTCTGACACAAACTTCATATACCAGAATATCATATCAGGCTGCATATCAGAAACACTAACTATGTTAGTGTTTCTGATATGCATTTCAGCCACGAATTATAATGCATTATGTCTGCAAAATCAATAAGGCTGGATGAACATAGATGATTTGACCTGTTTCTAATTATGTTCCGAAGCTATTACAAAGGCTGGTGGAAAATCTAGAGAGAAATTCTCAAAGACTCTAAAACAAACACCATAATAGGTGATTTCCTTTGCCTTTTCTCAGTGAAGACACATCGCTTTTGAAATCTCACTCAACTTGTCGATACGAATAATTTCTAACGGCAAATACTCCCACATTCGCAACCTCAAAATCATATTACCAGCTGTTTCCATTAAGTTATTTAAAAGCTTCCTTCAGAAACAGCGGAGCTTTAAATATATATTCGTTCTATCATCTTCTCTTCTATCTACTATTTCATCGTCTGAGGAACGCTTTCATGCTAAAAAGTGCCTTGAATCAGTGTTTATATATTTTTTAATTTCATTAGATCTTGGAGGAAGAAAAAACCTGGAATTTCTCGCCGCCTCTTTAATTGAACTTTCTGAATTCTCTCTCAAATAATTACACTGACGAACACTATTTCGATGTTATTTTCGAAGTTATTATGGAGCTCATTTCATATTTTCGTTGGATCGGGAATAAATAAGTTACCGTCTATCGATTCGGTATGCAATTAAACAACAAACTCAAATGATATTAGTTCGCTGCCTCGAAATGTAAAATGAGTTTTCGAGAAATTGAGTATAAGATCAACCTTCTAGAGACTGTGTAAAATGGATGAGCATAAGATAAAGTACAGTTATCTTCAACCGTCGCAATATATACAGCAGTTATTACACCGTGAAAATTGGTGATGGGTTTCAAAACAGCGTGTCAGGTTCAATCTCCATTCTGTGATGTATCCCGATGATTTGGACCCATGAGGGTTTGTTATGATGAGGTTGCAATATCCCAATCATGCCTGGGCTAATTTTTCGACCAATTGTGCTATAGGCTCTGTGTTTCACAAATATATGAATGAACAGTTTTCCAATGATCTACTGGTTGGATAAAAATAACGTTGCCCAGGAGTAATCGTAGGACGACAGACTGGGTGTTAATCCACCCGTGGTGTATTATGGGACATTCTGAATTTTAATGTTTTCAAAGTTGTATTCGATGTGCCATCGATAGTTTTCTCTCGGATACGTTCATCAGTGATACTGGTTTTCCCCAGGGTTTCACACTATCTCAATTCCATCTTCTATTGCGATAATTGAAAGAAGCCATGATTCCAGTTTATTATTTTCTGGTGGTGGTACCTGTATATGTAGAGTAGGGAGGCTGAGTGTAGACCTAAAGCACTTAGGCCACATGTGACCCATTGTACATCCTCCCGAGGAGTTGTCCTCCTAGGTCATCGTCAATCCTGTCCTTTCCAGGAAGGGTGACAGGTCACTAGGAAACATCTCCTTCATATCAGCAGGTGTAGGCCAAGACTCGCCGAACACATTCTCTCATTCACGATAGCTCCGGACACTCGCATAGGACGTGCCTGACAGTTTCATCTTCCTGTTCACACATTCTGCGCAGAGGTGTGATCACTAGCCCCATATTATGGAGGTGTTTTCTCAGTTGACAGTGGCCTGTCAGAAATCCTACTGTCAAGCGTAGATTTTTCCTGGTCATCACCAGATATTTCTTCGGCGCCAGCTTCCCAGGGTCGCCCAGGGTGATCCTGGCAGTCCAGGGTGATCCTGGCAAGATTGCATCCTTTGATTCCCTCATATCTCTTTAGGGATTGAGCATGGGTGTGACGTTTGGCTAGATCCGCAATTGTCGAAGTCATCATGCCGTAGGTGTCACTGGGTCCTGAAATTCTTAGTCCAGCCGCTTCCTTGGATGAAGAGTCAGCAATGCGATTGCCTTCTCTACTGTCGTACCCTTTAACCCACTTCAGGGTTACCTTATTATCTATCAAGGCTTTGGCTAAATCTTGTTGGCACTCTACTACTAGCCTTGACGTAAAACATTGTCTGTTCAAGGCTAATAGGGCTTGTCTACATCAGTGCAGAAGTTTTTGCCAGAAATTCCCTTCTTTGGTTATTTCTTTTGTGGCGATTGAGATACCAGCCAGTTCTGTTTGAACCACGCTGGTATTTTCTTCTGACGGTGGTACCCACACTTGTCTTTTTCTCCCATTGAGATGGCTCAAGGTCAAACGCCATATTGCCGAGTCTCCACCTCCATATTCCAGCCGGTTGAGCCACAGTTCTTGACCGTGTTGAACCCTGTATCTGCAGCTTGTCGGAGAAATGATAGACATTTGGATTGACCATGCTAACGTAGAATTTTCTGTAAAATACAGTAAATCTGCAACATATACCTATTCTCGCTTACAATGGGATGGCAGTATGTCACGTAGGGTTTTTAGTGCAATAAACGATGATGACTGTCATCTTAAAGTTTAGCCATCCTCCGTCAGAAAGTAAGAAGAAAATGATCAGAGTTGTGGAAAAACTCGTCGTGAAGGTGCTGAATTCTACCCAGAAAGGAGCTATCTGTCTAATCGGAGACCTAATAGTCTTTGATAGTTGTGCCTTTCCTTCAGATACTCCACGGGAAATACTCAACTGTCTTCTTGATTTCATCACAAGCAGTATATGTCAGAAGTAAACTGCATAGTCTAGCTGCCGGTGGAATGGTAGCCGGTTGGGTAGCTGGGTGGTTCATTCCACTAATTCAATCAACCACCATCTGAACGAAGGTTAGATTCCCACTGTGGAGTTTTCAATTCTCACTGCCTAATATCTGACCAGTGCTAAAAATCGCACATTAGAAGGTGAGGTGTCATTAATTTTCAGCTCGCACAGCTCAGACTTCTGAGGATTGTCGTTCATGAGGAGGCAACAGTCAGTTAACAGTGTGGTCTACCACAAATGTTTGGTTTTTGGGCTCTGCTTACAGTTGAATTAACTTAATCAATTGATTACTACCATAATTTCAGATCCAATAAAAAGGGAATATTTCTGTTCATTTGAGAACAATAGAAATGTCCATTTCGCATCTGATGTCATGCAAGTCACAAAAATAAGGTTTTGCCTCTAGATCATTTTCACTGCCAGCGTTCCACTGTTCTCTCTTAGAGGGTTGTTCATTCAAGATTTTTGGCCCAATCGGATTCTTCCACTTAGTAGTAAATAATGGCTGCTTGTTTTCTTTGTTTTCGATAAAATCCCCGTAACGAGGTGTAGCACAATTACGTAGCGGATTACCATGTACGTTGAAAGGGGCCATTACATTTTTTCGCGGCAAAATGTCTTCGGTATTATCCCGTTTATTTTTATTTCACGTAAGGATTCGCTTCTTTCAAATTCATTATAAGAAACTGCCGTCTACAGCCATTTATTATTTTCATTTACGCAATATAGTGGGAAAAGTATTTATGGAAAAGCACATATTTATCTTTTACTCGCATATATAAGCCACTATAGAAAATAACTTAAGGTGTATTCAAAAAATAAGTTACCCACTGAATATAGTTATAGAGCAAACCGATTGTATCAGAGTATAGTTCGAATTTCAACTCATTTTCCTGAAATACTTTCAATCTATTCATCAATCAGACATGCACCGACACCTTCCACAGCTAATTTTATTCCTTACATTACAGGAATCTGAAAAAATAAGACGAATTGGAAATAGATATGTTGTTAGAACTTCTTACGAAACAAAAAATACACTGAGATCTATACTCACACATAC